CTCTGTGTGAAAGACTACAGTTGGCGGGAGCCACCTCGCACCTGAAACCCAAGCATTAGTCAAGGAATCCAGGGTATTCATCTAAGAGCTGGGTGTGACTAGTGACTGGACCGCCGAGGCCACCTGTGGGGAGCCTCAGAGGCTGTGGCTGCAGAAGACCTGTCCCTGTCTAACAAGAGCAGGAGGAAGCCCCAGTTGCCCGAACCCTCTGTCTTCCTTTCACACCCCAGGGATGGGAGCTGCCTACTCAGAGATGCAGATAATGACAACCGACAACGAAGCAGCATCTCAACACACCTGCAGGGTGTGACTGCATGCCACCTGCTGTGTGGCATTTCCAGACTGAGGGCTCCCTGCCTTTGAAGGCACTGAAACAGGAATGAGGAGCCTGAGAAAAAACACAGCATAGTTAAGAGCACCAACTGCTCTCACAAAGGACCCAGGCTGGTTCCCCAGGGACCACACAGTGGCTCACAATCACTCATTTATAACTCAAATTCCAGGGGCACTGTGCACACACGATGCACAGACTTGCCAGACACACAGGCAGTCCCAACACAAAATACTTTTAAAAAATATTTTTTAATGCTTAAATACACATAAAATAAATTTTAAAAATTTTCCAGAGTCACACAATTCCCTCCAGATAGTGGCCCTTGCACTTGAAACAGCGCTGAAGGTTACGCTTGGGGTTTGGGGCAGGAGGCTGTGGTGATGCTGGGGGCAATGGGTTCTGGGTAGGCAGTAGTTTGGGGTTGCATTTCCTGTGTAGTCAGCTGAGAACTGACTGACCGACAGGAGAGAAATCCCTTTCTCTCAGTCAGGCGACCTGAAACAAGGGGCGCTCCGCAGAGGGACATGTAAGGTCCTTTCAGAGCACCGTGCTGGGATGAAGAGGAGGGCCACTGTCCTCAGAAACCATCTGGGCACTTACTAGGGAAGAAACATTGGAACAAGCTGTCTGCTAGAGCTGGGGACACCAGGGTCACTAGCATGCTTTTTTTTTCTTAATATGTATTTGTCTAAAACTGACATAAAATGTGATGACCAAGGAGGCCAGGGGCTGTTCTCCGAACCGCTCAAGGGAGGAAAGGGAAAATCTATCCCATCTTGTCCCATTCCCACCCCCATCCCCCACCTCCTTTACCGAGGAGAATTTGCTGAGGAAGAACTTAAATACTAATTTCATAAAATTTTAATTTTCTCAGGTCTCTACTTCTCGAAGCAGCTACTCCAGACAGGGGCATTTAAAGGAGAAAAGAAAGGTGTGTGCCCTATCAACTGTGTTGACTACACCCAAACATGTCCTGAGGACACCCCGAAACCAACCAGAGAGTGTTGTTTCTTCTACAGAGATCTGGCTTTAAAAGCTTCATAAATGCCCTTCCTAGTAGCGAGACTCCTGAGGGACTTTGGTGCTGTGCAGTGCAGGCTCACGGTCTAAGGCTTGCCAATGCAGGAACTAACTGGCTGCAATTGATTCTTTAGTTCTCTGCTTAAAACACAAAAGCAGAAACTTCTGTCTAGCTGGAGTAACCAACGCATAAGGGCAAAGTGCGTCCCGTAGCCCAGCAGCAAAAGATGCTTAATCGAGAAAACATTTCCAGCAACGCTGACGATTGACAGACTGGGCAAGACGGGCTGAGTCTCCTCCCATCCCCTGTCAGCATGGATAGGAATCGAAGTGGCTTTATTTTACTTCCTGGGATATTTTACTTTTACAATACACCTCTCTCTCTCTCTCTCTCTCTCTCTCTCTCTCTCTCTCTCTCTCTCTCTCTCTCTTTCTTTCTTTGAATGGGTCTCTCCACAAAGATCAGGTTAGTCTGGAACTTTCAGTCTTCCTGCCTCAGCCTAAGGCATGCCCACCAACATGAGTGTCAGCCCAAAGCTGATTCTAGTTGTCTGTGTGCTCAGGCCTTGGCATTTGTGTTTAGCCTGTGTCTGTAAATCCAATTCGCACAAGGCTAATCTTATTTCACTCCTTCTTCACAGGAAAGGGTGTTACCCCCAGTTAGACCTCGCTGGGTGGTTTTACCAAAGCAGAGGCCCAGCTGGTGGCTGGCATCCTGACCTCACAGGTCGGCAATGCTGTGCCAGTAAGGTGTACTCTCGGTCTCTGGCCAATTTCAGCATTTCCATGCGACCAGGTGCTTTCACCCAGGCTCGAAGGCTAGAGTGGCCCTTGCATGATGGCTCAGAGAAAATATCCATGTTTTCCAAGTGGGAGATTCGGGTGCCGAGAAGAATCCACTCCCCGTAATGTCCGCTATGCAGACCTCTGCTGACACTGAGCTTCCCCAAGACAAGCAGTTTAGACTGGAATGCGAGGAAAGAGCTGGTGCGCGTGAGGGTGGAGAGTAAAGAGGTGGGAATCTGAGGGACCCCCCCGCCCCAAGAGGACTTCGTCTCAGTTTGTTGCACAGAGCATCGTGTCAACAATTCTGCAGAGCACCGCACAGATGGTGCGTACCCGGAGTCAAGGGGACTTAATGGTTAAGAAATCCGCTTCTCAGCTCAGGCATGCTGGTACACGTTTGTGCTTCCAGCACTTTTGGGACAGAGGCAGGAGGATCAGAAGTTCAAGGTTATCGGGACCCTGTCAAACAAACAAACAAACAAACAAATGTTTGCTTCTCAGACAGAGCTGACAAGCAGGGTAAGGGACTCCGAAAGGCTGATTCTCCACCACTTCTGTCTTGCTGGTTTTCAGCAGCACTGACGCGATCCCTAATGGTCCCCATGATGTCATCATTACCTTTAGTTAGTTCTTGTACCTCCTCAGAAGCTGTGTGACCTTGAGCAAGTGAGTGAGCCTCCCTGAGTCTCAGTCACCCAAAGAGAAAATAAGAACATAAATTTCATCTCACAGGGTAGCTGTGCCTGCCAAAGAGTGAGGCTGACATAAACCCTCATTATCTCCATTACAAAACTTCTCAGCCTTCCAGCAAGGGCAGCAAATTAATTCAACAGCTCTTACTAACCACCCAGCATAAATGTGAAGCACTCAGCTACGGTTATCTACAAAGCAGGGGAAAAAAATCTCCCTGGTGTAGACCTCACCCACCACCTTTCCTAGGAGCAGTGCAGAAGAAAGGGCCAGGGAGGTATCTCAATGGTAGAGAGCTAACCTAGCATGCCTGAGACCCTGGGTTCAATCCCCGAGACCAAACAGTAAATAAAGAACACCAAGACATCAACAATGACGTTTTCCACCACCAAGGCACAATGGCCACCTCTGCATGCAAGCCTCCCAAAGATCAGGGGTGCCACCGCTAAGAGCAAACATACCACTCTGCCTAAGCTGGTGGGCTGTCCTTCCGAGCCTTCCCAAACACGGCTTACCACTCAACGCCATGACCAGAAGGCAGATCTGGACCACCATTTAGAGAGTCGAGGTCTTGTTTCAGGTGGCAGGGTGGGACTACTGAGTCCAGGCACCGTGCCAGCACTTCCTGCCGTGCCTTCTCCTTATTGTCTTGGCACACAGGAAGCCCCCAACCAAGGAGGTGGCTCAACACCTGGCTTTACCCTCAGGACACAGGGCTAAAGAGAAAGCTCATTTTAAAGAGGTCAAACAGCTTCTGTTTTGCTCCAAGAAGATGAAACAAGAGAAGGCCCTTATTTCTGGGCAATTATTTGAGCCCTTGGTTCTCCTTCACTTTGCCATCTCACGGTCCTGGGTATGAGGCATCTCAGGCCATGGTCTTCAGCAGGGAATACAGACATAAGCCAAATAAACTTCTAGCTCCATGGAATTTTTCAGAGAGCACAGCTCCCACACGGGATCCATGCAAGAGGGAACAGTGAATTTATTAGCGAGTGCTTTCAGGGCAAGAGACTGGTCTTGCTCATCTTTTGCAATTTCCATATAAAAAAACGCATAATGAAAGGTGCTTGTCAGATTAAATCAGTTTAGAAGTTTCATAAAGCAGGGCTGGAGAGATGGCTCAGTGGGGAAGAGCAGAGACTGCTCGTGCAGAGGACTTGAGTTCAGTTCCCCACACCCATGCTGTCCTGTTGACTGTACCTCCAGCTCTGGGGGCTCCAACACCTCTGGGCTCCACAGGCAGCTGCTCTCTCACACACATCCTCATCCACAGACACAGACACACACACACACACACACACACACGCACGCACGCACGCACACACGGGATCTTTTTAAAGTTCCATTAAGGAAGAACACATTATTAAATCACAGTGATCCTTTAGGTCATAAAAACTTCCTCCCAAAAGCAACTTCAATAACGAAGAGAAAGGGAAGCTGGCTCCTAATGGGCTCGCACATTAGCAGAGCAGCGGCAGAGCAGGCCCGCGCCTCTTGGAGGTGAGAGGTTTGCATTAATTTCTGATCCATGCCTATTCCAACGTCAGCCGCACCAGTCCTGTGAGACTCATAATCAATCTCTCAGCACTCCAATTAATTACACAATTCATTTTGCATAACTCTAAACATTGTCTACGGAGCAAAGTAAAACAAGTAAAATGAAACAAACCAAACCAAAATAAACCAAAAAAGCACGATGACCCAGCCAGCAGATTTAGGCTAGCTTCCAGACACCAGCATCAGCAATAGACCCCAGGGTCACCGCTAGCCAGGGCTGTCCGCTGTGTCAACCCGCTCTCCCGGTCATAGCGCCCTAGGAACGAATCACGCCAAATGCCGGTCTTAAACGAAGTAGTTGTTTTGACTCTGAGTCGCATCCCACCCTCTGTATCACCAGCATCTGCACGAAAATGCTCACTACCCTCGTCACTGAGCGACACGGGAGTGAGTGCTGAACCGGCAGTCTCATCACAAGGTGCCCATGTGACCCGAGCGTCCTCTCGCCCCAGCCGGAACAGTGACAAACTGGATGGCAAGTGACAGAGAAAGAGGACGATGTGAACTCATCCCGTAGACTAGACCAGCCCTGAGACCCATGCCTCCAGTGTATCCACGGCCCTCATCCCTGAGAGTCACACCCCTGGCTCCCACAGAGGGGCAGGCCCTTTACCTTCTTGTATGCAGACGGGTCTGTCGCTCGGGACCCAGCCTAGGGTCCCATTAAAATATTTCATACACAGTCTCTTGGTAGAGCCCTTCAGTTTGAATCCGTCTTGGCAGTGAAACCGGGTTACAGAACTTTCAAAGAAAACTCCTCCACTGGGGGTCCGGAAGCCATTCTCTGGTACGCCTGGATCAGCACACACGTTGAGGTCATCCAGCCCTACAGTGACACAAAGAGAGAGAAAGTGCCTTGAATACTTCTCTAAGAACTGTATTCCTGCACCTTGGGCCACTCCAATTGTACGAACGAAACTAAGAGCCTACAGGTGTTGGCTTGATTTCCACTGCTTATGAGAGGCCAAGAATTAGGAAGGTGCAGCTCCTACCAGGATAATGTCCCAAATGTGCCCTCAAGGGAGCATGGAAATGGCCAACCTCTGAACAGACATCTACTGTTTTGTTTTTTCCTATAAAGTAAGGAAAGCCAACCCACAAATCTTCACTGAGCAGGTATCAGGAAGTAGCATGCACAACTCCATGGAGATGGGGTTGGTGTGTCCATCTTCAATTCTTGTACAGCGCGCTGGTATGACTTCTCAGATTCAGAGGGCAGGGCACAACCCTGGGGCCCCCTGCTTTCAGCTGCATACTGGATGCTGGACTCCTGAGGCAGCCACTCCTCCTTAGTACCCTGTATTGCTAAAGGTCCTCAGCTGTTGGTGACATCCCTCACCCCGGGGGCTTTTGTGAGACACATACTCCCTCCCCACTGGCCCGCAGGGTCACTGTGCTAAAAGCCTCTCAGCACGAGAGGCGCAATGGTGTCAGCACGTCCAAAACTCACTGTCAGAGCTCCCTCTGTGCAGAGACGATGAGGAACGGTGGAGGCAGTGGTGGGGACAGCACCCACACTTCTGCTCCTTAGGTATGACCAAGTGTGATACCACACCAAAGCAACACGATACCATCCAGGTACCAATCAATAGTACTGTCCAGGGGAGGGCTACTGGAAACTTGCCACATGGTTGCTTCAAGTTTGCATGTTTAGGGAAAGTACTTCAGGGCCTCGGGTGCTTCCGATGCAAAGAAAGTCACGACTTCCTTCTGCCTGGAAGGATGTACACTCCCGCGGTGGGTCCTTTGAAAAGGTCATTCTGACGGAGTCAGAATGGGGTACATGTGTGTCCGTGGGAGCCACAGAAGGGCATGAGGGTGGGGAAGCCTCTAGAAGGCCTCCAGCTGAGTCCTTAGGAGAGTGGACATACCAGCCAGAAAGGGAGATAAGCATCAGGGGTACAGGTCAGAACCTCCATGGCTAAAGACAGATGACACCGAGACCACTACCTGGACACCAGAAGGGAGAAGATGAAACTCGTCTGCTGATGTTTAAAGAGGGAAAAGTGGCAGTCAGCATGGGCTTCTCTCTCGGGAGGTCCGGTGTGAATAGAACATGGGGCAGTAGCTGCCCTCGTAAGAGGGATAAGGCAGAGTTTTTAACCATTGTTGAATTAAAACGTTAAGATAAAGCCAGCCACAGTAGCTCGAATCTGTAATCCCAGCACTCTAGAGGCTAAGCAGGGATTGCTCTGAGCACGAGGCCAGCCTGAGTTACACAGGGAGTTCAGGTCAGCCTGAGATACGCAGTAAGAGGCTGCCCTTACTAATTTTTTTTAAACGACAGAGCTCTAAGAATCTTCACACAACAAAGAAACACAGTGGAGAATAGAAAGCTGTAGCTGAGGTAAGTGAGGGGCACACTCCAGTAAGCTGCTGCTACCCAGCTATGGGCAGGGAGGAGACCTAAACCCAGGGGTCAAAGGATGTTTATCTTCCACTGAAATAGAAAGGAGGTACTGTCACGCCCTTGAATGAGGGAAGGACATTTCCCATAATGCAAGCCTCCTTAGAACATACACAGGAGGTCTCTCTTCCCATTAGGGTAGCCTGGGCTCACTCCTCAAGGTTTTCCTCACTGTGACCAGAACTGCTAGTCTACTACTGTGTCCTTGTCTAATCTATAAAAGCCTACGCAGGAGACTCAAGAGACTCCACCTTCGTCATTTCCTCTGCATTGTATGTTGTACGCGGTGACCATTTCCACCACAAGCATGTTAGTGAAAGATGATTGGCTGAGTGGTTGTACAGATGGATGGTTAGATGTCAGGGGTGGGGCAAATGGAAAAATGGATACGTGAATAAGTTGGATGGATAGATCAAAAGACAGATGGGTAGGGTAGATGTGCGAATGGATGGATGGACAGGTGGGTGAATGGTGGATGGATGGATGAATGTATGGATAGATGGATGGGTAGATACGTGAATAAGGTGGATGGATAGGTCAACAGATGGATGGATAGGTAGATGCATGAATGGATGAAAAGGTGGATGAAGGGATGGATGGGTGGATGGATGGATGGGTGGGTGGGTGTGTGGATGGCTAGGTGGATAGATGGAGAGGTGAGTAGATCTATGGATGGATGGATTGACAGCTAGGTGTATAGATGGATAAATATATAAGTGGATGCTAGATGTACAGATGAATGAATGTGTGGATGGGTAAAGGGTGGTGTGTGCTTATATGAATGAGTGGACAGAACTTGGTGCCAACTATTCTGCTAGACCCACTACCAAGCAGTACCACCCCTGTCCAGAAGCTGATGCATGTCACAGACAAGGCTGAGACATCTATCCGGCATTGCATTCTCTCTCTTTCCTGTAGACTACGAACCCTAATCTTCTTCTTTTCTCCCCCCACCCCCACCCTTTGGGAAACACGGCCTTGCTGTGTAGCTCTAGCTAGCTTAGAACTCACTCTCAATCTCAAAGAAATTTTTCTGCCTCTGCCTTCTGAGTAGTGGGATTAAAGGTTCAAGTGTGCCACCACGGCCAGTTCCCGGGGTGTTTTCTAAACTCCTAATTTTTCTACAATTCCAATGTCTTACGTTTCTTCTTCAATAAGGGGACAGAGCAGGCCTACGCTGTGCCTTGCCTGGGGCATCTGTGCTCCCCTAATATATGGTTTTTAGTCTGTCACCCTGCTACCAAACATCAGCACTGCTGACTCTGGAGTTCCTCCAGCTGGCCACACCCTGACTTTGGCCACAAGGCTGTTCTCCTTCACAGAAGAAGGTGAGACCAGTCAAGGGAGGGCTGAAGACCCATCAGACAGAACGACCTGATCTATCAGGAAAGTCACTGGGCTAATAAAAAAATGATGAGCACTTCATGAAAATTACAATGGGCAGGCGAGGAACGTTCCTCACGAGCCAGATTCTTTCTGATTCCTTCTTGATAAAGCGCAAGCCCCGGCAGCTCCCTACTTCCACTGAACCACAGCTAACACGGTCGAGTTCCTAAGCCTGGTGCAGGGCTGAACATCTCCAGTGCTGCTGGCCAGGGATCCAGCCACTGGCACCGAAGAGCAGTGAAAAGAGCCATCAGAAGACAGGATAGTGCAAGAAGAAAATATTCTTCATTTGGACAACTAATCCCACTGAGCAAGATAGTAATTTCCTAGGCCTGCTAGATCTCAGAGTCTTTGTTTCAAATTATGCCTTGGTGGATCAATTCCCAGCCCAGGTCGTTTTTTTCAGCAGAGCCCTCTCTTAGTGTCCTTCCATAATGATGATGATCAGCCCCGTCTGATAACAGACCCATTAAGGAGTGGGCTGATGTAGGTATTAGGAGGTGTGGAAAATAACCTGTGTCCAGGCCCACTCAAATCATCTCTCAAGAATCTGCTTTCTTAAAACCCCAACATACTTCCTTCCCATCCGTCAAATTCTGCTAATGCTCTGGAACTAAGTGGTCACAGCCTGGAGGGAAGAGTGAGCTCCCAGAATGGTTTCTGACATGTTTACTCCTGGGAGGAGCTGGAGGAGGAGGAGGAGGAGTGCTCCATTTCAAACAGTCCTTAGCAACAGCCTCCCCTGGATGTGCCTGCAATATAGTCAATCTAGAGTACAACATATGAAGGCAAGACACACTTAGGCGAGACCCTGACTAGGATACAGGTACCCAGATATTAGTCCCTGTGTGCAGGGACTGCTGTGTCATTCTTCGGGGTGGGATCAACCCGAGACTCTGGAGACCAAGTAGAATGGCTTACCCTCTCAGTGTGAGGTGGCCTTTTGAGTGTTACAGGCCTGGACAGAGCAAAGAGAGGAACAGGAAAGCGTTTGTCCTCCATAGCTGCTAGTCTTCGAGCTGGAACACTGGTGCTCTGCTTTCCGATCAGGACTTATCTCAGGATTTTCACCCCTGGCTCTCCTGGGCCTCAAACGTTTGCACTTTTTGACTAGAACTGAGCCACTGATTCTTCTGGGTCTCTAGGAGACACAGATGATGGATGGGTGGGTGGATGAATGGATGGATGGTTTATATACAGATTAATGCTTCCTTTTGGTTGTTTTTCTGCAGAACCCAGACTCATACAAGCGTTCAAAGTGCTTAGGCATTTCCAACTTGTGCGTAACAGAGAAGCCAACTACTCTGCTTCCAAAAGTCACTTCTCTCAAGATCCTTGAGTTTACATATATAGTTGACTCACTGAATAGGGCTAATGCCTTATCCCTGGGGTCTGGACAACCCAGCTGGACATCCCTAGCCTGAAGACCCCGCCCTAGCCTGCAGTCCCCTCTGATGGCTACAGGACTGGTTGCTCTGAGTCTGCATCTCCTCCCCCTTGAGTATCATCATTATCATCTCTGGTACTGTGTTTCCTCTTGTGAACCCAAATCAAGTCAAAGACACAGTTGTAATTTTAGACTCTGGTCCCAGTAGAAGTCAGGGCTCCTTATTTTTCTTTTCTCTGAACCCAGATCCACCTGTGTTATAGAGATTGAGAGCACCCTTATCTTTCCATACAAAGAAATGCATCAGGCCCTCCGTCTCCTGATGAGGTCTTGACATTTCTGGCTTGGTTACTTCTGAGACTGCAGAAACCTGGCCGCCAGTTCTACTGTGAACAACATAAGAAGCCTTTGAAAGGGATCATAAAAACGAAAGAGGTGTGAAAAGCAATCTTTTGGGCTATTACAGATGAAAAGTCATATTCTAGGAAGGAAGAGTGTATCAAATGTAGCCAAATCAATTTAGAGCCAGGGCTGGGTTCCCATTTCTTTGTAAACTGCTCTATGGGTCTATAGGGGGAAGAAACGGGATATAGACACAAAAATTGATTTTGTATGCATTTCTTTGGTGAGAGGGGGCTGGGCAAGT